AAACTCAAGACTGAGGGGATATTTTATTGACAAAGTTAGTTACAGTTAGAACAGTTTCTCCCCATAAAAATTTTGGAACTTGATTTGTGAACATGAGGGAGAGGATGACTTCCAAAAAATGTATATTCTTCTTTTTGGCTATCTGATCTTGTTGGTAGGTATCAACACATAAACTTTGATGAACAATCCCCTCGTTTTCAAGATGAATTCTCAACTCTTTCAAAATTTTCTTTTGCATTGTTTGTCTTCAACACTTACATTTTTTTCTTGAAATTAAGTTTTACTATGTTGTTAAATTTTTTTGAATATATGACCAACTTTTGATTTTTTTTTTTTATGAGAAATTAACCATGTAATTCTTGCATGATCATTTACGAAAGATATAAATTATTTAGTACCGGTAATATTGTTGATTATAGATGACCCTCTGACATCACAATGTACCATAGCAAATGGTTTAAAGGTTTTGAAGGATATGGGCTATACAATACGAGTACATTTTGACAATTGACATATTTTATAATTAAAGTTTTCTGAACTTTTATTTTTGAATAAAGAAGTGAATAATTTTTCAAGATATATAAAATTTGGATGTCTTGATCAATAAGGCATAATATAATTAATTTTCTAAATAAATTGGATTGTCTTGAGAGTCAACATATATTGCATTATGAGATTGTCTTCTAAAAAATCCATCATCCTTGAAGAGAAAGAGTCTGAAATATAATTTCACATCGCTAATTGTCATCATCGAATACAAATATTGAAATTTACATAAATTTGAGGAAAATTTAGTAATACAGTTATGATTCTAGGTAAATTTGCTTACTGGTAACAAATTGCAATCTATATTGGGTACATGAATTATTTTTTTACGGTTAAGTCCTTTAAGATGGGAATATCAATTATTCCGGCCACTACTGAGTGAGATCCATCCGCTACTTTTACGGTGAGATTTTTTTGCATGGGTTATATTCTTGAAATATTATTTTATTTTCTATCATATGGTTGGATGCCCATCAGTAAATTTGTTTACTGATAACAAATTGCAATCCATATTGGGTACATGAAGTATTTTTTTTACAGTTAAGTCCTTTAAGATGAGAATATCAATTATTCCGGCCACTCTTGATTGAGATCCATCCGCTATTTTTACGGTGAGATTCTCTTTGCATGGGTTATATTCTTGAAACATTATTTTATTTTCTATCATATGGTTGGATACTCATGAGTCAATGATTCAAGTATCTTGACTTCCTGAAATAGCATTGAAAGTACAAAAGTAGTTATCTTTTTAGGTTGTCACAAATCCTATGTTATCATTAATGGAATTTTGATGTAGGAATATTTTTTTGAGAAATTCTCTTTGTTTTTTGCTGAATGGACATGATTTCTTAGTGGAGATACCTTCATCAACAGAAGCATGATTTCTCTTACTTTCTTTGCCTGTAGTTGATTTTTTGGTCCTTCAAATCAGCTGGTTTTTGATGAATTTTGCAGCAACTATCTCAAGTATGACTTGGTTTTCTGTAATGATCATATCAAAACCTTTCCTTTTTTGGTTGGTTGTATGAGTTAGGATGAGGGTCTCAAGTAGCCAAAGCAGAGTTTTGCTCAGTAGTAGGATTTGTAAATCCATCTCCCAATATTACCTTTATTCTGCTTTCTTCTCTCCTTGAAAAATACATCACGAATACCAGGTAATGGTTTGATTCCGATTAATTTTTCCGGATTTTGTCCAAGTGTTTATTCAATCTCATGAGAAATTTGAAATTTCCTTTTCCTTCCAAAATTTTTCTGGATTGTTTTGCATCATTTGAATTGCTCTTTCCAAATTCCTCAAACACATCGAGTTGTAGCCAGTGATGGGTAAACATGTCGTAGACCGAGTTATGGATAGATCTCTTTGTCGCAAGTTATGGAGGTTAGATTTAAGTGTAAAAATTTTAGACGCGTTTTCATCATTTAAGTAGAACTTTTTGGCTGCTTCACAGATTTCGTGTCGTCTCGTACAGTAAGAAATTTTTTCTGATATCATTTTTTATGGAGTTAGTCAGCTACGACATGAAATTATTTTCAGCCTTCCAAGTGTGATTTGTTGACTTTTCCGATGAGATATTCTTCTCTCCCTCTTTCACAGATAAACATTTTTACCAGTTGAGCCATTGAATATAGTTGTTTATGTTTACCTTGTAGCTAGTGATCAAAATTTGAGTGGCTTTTCACTCGGATGGTTTGATAGAAATAATTTCATCAAGCAGAGATGTGACTTCAGAAAGGTCATTGGTTCTTACTATAATCATTTCATATTTAGTCATCAGTAAGAAAGAGAAAAAAAAAATTTTAAGGTTAAAAATTTCTGCTCTCATACCATGAAAATTTGTAATTAAATTTTTTATTTATTAAATTTTGATTCATGACACTTAATTTACAACATTTGAATATATATACGAGAAGATTAGAGAAAATTTTAATTAGAAACTAAATGCAAATCAGTCTCATTAAAGGAAAAAGATCCTCCAATTATAAAAGTAAACTAGGATTATGCTTTGTAGGGAGATTTCTCTAAAAATGTCAATCTATATAGAAATTGAACTTTTACAATAAGTCGGATTCTTATATTGAATAAGGAGGGGTAGTGAGTATATAGCCAATATCTAGTAGCCATTGTTCATGCCTTTTTTACCACATGATGTTATAACTGGTGCGGAACCCAGGATCAACTTTGTGATAAAAAAAATTCCACAACTAATCTAGTATTCAGAATTTTTAAAACTTTTAACACATCCTCCCTACTTAATCTACACTCAACCTGTGAGTGTCAACCAAGGTAATAGGAATAAAGATGAATTGATTATATGGCACATTTTAGAATCTTGATAAGTGAAATCAATTCAAAAAAGATTGATAAGACGTCACAAGGAACTTACCTTAATAAGTTGAATCAACCTGGTACTCGGCAAGATGGTTATAGACACCCTCTTAAAAAGCATTCACATAATTAGTAAGAGTTAAAAGCAATTGGAAATTTTATTGAATATTGAACTTATGTTTACATGAGGGGTGATGACCTCAATTTGTAGAGTTTGCCATTCTTATTTGACTTAAACTCTAATTCTTAATTTTAATTCAAATTAAAAACTAAAATTTAATTTAAATTAAAACTCAAACTCTTAATAAAATAATAGAGAAAAATACTAGGAATTAAACATAAACTAAACTTCTTTTCTTGGTGGCTTTAGACTTCTTTTCAGACTTCAATATTTGTAATCTTTTCGGTTTTAACTTCTTTTAGTTCTTTATTGGATTTTTTTTTTTGTTTATAAGGTCACATCATCCCTCCTTATTCGAAAGGATTCGTCCTCAAATCAGAGTCTTCCTTAGGTAGGGATGTTCTTCCGGAATCCTGCCAAATAAACCCACTGGAAAAAGAATGGCTAGTGAATAAACATGGTCTGTTGCTGCCATTCTTTTGTCAGTTGTCTCTTTTATGGAACTCTTGATTTTCTGCTGATCTTTGAAGACTTTTTTGGGTGATAGTGGTGTGAGGAAAAAGTTTTAATCATTCAGGTTGAAACAATAGTGATTCTGATATCTATCATGGGACACATGCCGATCATATTGCCATGACCTCCCTAGCAACAAATTACTAGTTTGCATCGGTACGACATCGTAACGAACCTCATCAACGTGCCTTTTGATGGCAAAGAGTACCATCATTTGTTTCATTATCTTAACTTCCCCACAATCATTTAATCATTGTGGTCTGTAGGGTTGGGGATGCTTGGTACACGTCAACCCAAGCTTGTCAACTAAGAGGGTACTGGTAACATTTATGTAGTTTCCTCTATCTATGGTGAGATGATAGACTTTTCCATTCACACGACACCATGTATGGAAAAGATTATTTCTTTGGTGGCTACCCTCTTCCTTAACTTAAGTACTCAGTACTCTTCTGATAACCATGAGTTCTCCTTGAATTGGATGCTCCATAATAGCCTCTAGTGGTGTCTTATCAGCACTATCACTGTCAGTATCTTCACTATCACTCTCAATGGCATCATCATCTCTCAACAACATGATTTTCTTATTAAGACATTGCGAGACGATGTGTCCAACTCCAAGGTATCTGAAACACTCAATAGAATTGTGTTTTTTATCATCAGAAGGAGTTTTAGGTGTGTACCTTTAGATTTAATGGTAGAAGATTTATCTTTCTTGTCTTCAAACCTTTATGTCTTCATTGGTTGGCCATCTTGTAGTAGTTTGGGGTGTGGTCTAAAATGTTTCTCAAGTGGGGTCTTGTACTTCAGCTGTCTTTCAATCTTCATAGCCATATGCACATTTTCATCCATATCTATATAGTGATGTAGCTCCACAACATTGGGAATCTCCCCGTTCAAGCCACTCAGAAATCTAGCTATGATGACTTCTGTATTCATAAATTCTGGCCCTGATGATTATCATTTCCATCTCCTTATGGTAATCTTCCACATACATAGATCCCTGAGTCAATTTTTGAAACTTCTTGTGCAACTCACTATCATAATAAGATTGAACAAAATTTTTCTCATAATAGACTTCATCTCTCCTCAGGTAGATACAAGTTGGTCTCCATCTCTTTTTCTGAGAGTGGTCACTAATCTCCATAAACTCGGACCCTGATCATTACCATCTCCATCTCCTTGTTGTAATCTTCCACAGACATGGATCCCTGAGTCAATTTTTAGAACTTCTAATTAACTTCTTGTCATAATAAGATTGAACAAGTCTTTTTCTCATGATAGACTTCATATCTCTCTACGTGGATACAGGTTGTCTTCATCTCTTCTTCTGAGGGCAGTCACTTGATCCCACCAAACAAGTGCATAATCAGTGAACTCGATTGCTGCTAGCTTCACTGTAGTTGTAGTAGTCAAAGATAAACTCTACATTTCGTTTCCACTCGTGATAGGTCTATACATCATTTTTGTCTTTAAACGGGGATATTTGTATCTTGATGAATCTAATGTGATCATCTTCCCTCTGGATTTCTCTTCTATCGACTTCATTATTATCGCCATAGGACTCATCATCATCTTGGTGGTGTCAGCGTCTGGGATGATTATGATTTCTTCCTCTATTTCTCTCATCCATCCTTGTTGTTATGTCTTTAATGGCTAAGCTCAGTCTATTGTACATATCATCTATCCTAGCCTCCATGCGTTCTTCCAAGGTCATAAATCGGTTGACTTCATTAGGTTCTGACATGGTGTTCCTACAAGATAGGTTAGTCTAATAATAACTCTCCCTTATGGTTACTCATGGTTGGAATTCTTACCTAATAGTCTTCCAACCTCAAGCGAGTGTCGGGATTGATGCCCTTTAACTCAAGGAATCGTGAGCTTCATTGTAGGATAAGAAATTGTAAAGTAATGTCATATGTAGTGATATACACACACAAAGATGTTGATGAGGTGGGGTAGATGCTATATTTATGTCGTATGGGTGTAGATATTTATGTGATGGATAATGAAAAATTAAAAGCAACACAAGATAGTGAGATTTATTTTGAGCTTGAAGCTCTGATACCAAATGCTGCGGAACTCAGGATCAAGTTTGTGATAAAATAATCCTACAATTAATCTAGTATTCAGAATCTTTAAAACTCTTAATAAATCCTTACTGCTTGATCTATACTCAACCTGTGAGTGTCAACCAAGGTAATAAGGATGAAAGATGAATTGATTAAACACCACGTGGTAGAATCCTGATAAGTGAAATCAATTCAAGAAGGATTGACAAAACACCACAAGGGACTTACCTTGATAAGTTGAATCAACTTGGGACTTGGCAAGATGTTTGTACACACCCTCTTAAAGAGCACTCACACAATTAGAAAGAGTTAAAAGCAACTGAAAATTTTATTGAATATCGAACTTGTGTTTACATAAGGGGTGATGACCTCTATTTATAGAGTTTGTCATCCTTATTTGACTTAAACTCCAATTCTTAATTTTAATTCAAATTAAAAACTAAACTTTAACTTAAATTAAAACTTAAACTCTTAATAAAATAATGCAGAAAAATATTAGAAATTAAACATAAACTAGACTCCTCTTCTTGGTGGCTTTAGATTTCTTTTCGGACTTCAATACTTGTAATCTTTTCGGTTTCAGCTTTTTTTTAGTTCTTTGCTGGATTTTTTTTTCTAGGGTCACATCAATAACACTTCTAACATTACATTCATTTTCTCTTCCATCATCCAATTGGAAGACTTAACATACATTGTAAATAAAATAAATTTGGTTGAAGCACGAACTGACATTAACTTGTCCATATTCTTAATATGCCTAAAAAGTAAGTATAACATATGAATATGATCAAACTAACTTCAAAAGGTGAAAGAGGGCACCCAAAAACCTTAGAGCCAGTTTGAAAGTGTTGAGAACTAATCTAGAGGTGGTTGAACTGAGCAAGTTGAAACAAATCAATTTGAACCAATTTGAACCAGTCAGCAGAAACTTCAAAATGTTGACCTC